CCACTGCTTGGCTGTGACAACCACAAGCTCCGTGTCAGTTTTTACTCCCAGCTCCAATGAAACTCCCTTTAGGAGTTGAGCTTAATGACTCAAGGCTGCATAACATGGCTGTCTGTAATGTCTTAAGTAAAATCTGTTCTATTTGTCAGCCATCCTCCTTTCAGATTTGTTTAAGAACATTAAGTTAAGACTACAAAAATTGAAGCAAAAGACCAGCATGAATAATTTGGCTGGATTGCTGTCCCCAGTGCCGAGGGCTGGGTTAATACTGCTTTTTCATGGTGCTTGAGAGAGTCTCCAAGGTCCATAATGAGAAACAGAATATTAAACTGAAATTATGTTCAGTATGTCTTGAGGAAGGTACAGCATGAGGCTCTATTTAAGAACAGTGCATTTATTTACATTTAGGTGCTTCACTCATCTGGTAAGACTTTTTGCATCTTGCTCTGGCACAGTCATGCTGCTTATCTGTGTCCAAAGGTGAAAGAAAACTGGGGCAAAAATTGTTTTAATAGTATTATTAAGCTTGCTAGGTCAAAATTTTGAATTCAGCCTGCAGATAGTACTATTATGAGGCTGGGATATTTTTAAAGTGTTTTTTGTGGTTAATTTGCCTCTTTTTTTTTTTTTTTTTTTTTTTTTTTTTTTTTTTTTTTTTTTTTTTTTTTTTTTTTTTTTCCCTGACCTTTGATTTCATTGAAGGCATTAAGATTTTGTGAAACAGTCTTAGCAGGAAGTTTTGGGTGTAAAGCAGACCCCAGCTTGCTCTCAGGGGGTGGGGTGCTAGTTGTCCTGTAGTCCTGTGGTCAGTGTGCACCTGATTTGATCCACATGTGTGCTGCCAGCATGGTGATAAGAGTGAGAGATGGTGATGTAGGAGTGGGAGTCTCACAAGAACATTTTCTGTTGCAGCCTGGACAGGCAGGTGAAAATGAGCAAGATATGTCTGTGCGAGGATCTCTCAAAACTGCTCACTGCAGAACACAAGCTCTAACACAAGCTTTAAAACCTTTTTTATCTGTGTGCATTCCTACCACCTTGAGGAGAAAACCAGTGCTGTTCTTCTTCCTTGTTCTCTGCAAAGTGAATACTCTGATTCAGCCATTCCTGTTTTGGGCAGGAGCGTGGGTGAAAGGCCAGTCCTGGGATCCTGCCTCCTGCAGGCTGTGCAAAGCCTTGCTTTCAGCTTCCTCACTTCTTGGCAAAAACATTCAGAAGCCAAGATGATGGTGACTCGGTACAGTATATTCCTTATAAAACACTAAGGAGTTTGAAAAATTCCTGCATTTTGAAGTAAATGTCAATGTTAACCTCGGGGGGAGGACTTCCAGTACTTTTTGGCCTAGTATGTAAGGAACACAGCCATATAGTAGACTGAATCACCAAGAACAAAGAATCACTGTGCACTAGTGTATCTATTTTTTTTTTTTTTTTTTTAAGTAAAAATGTTTTTTCAAAACATAATGTGACAAGCAAAACTGAAGGCAAAACCATCTGAAACGTACTGACTGTTCTCAGCCTCTTCAGTGAGCATGGACTGCAGGCATTTGGGACCTCTGTGTGGTTTGGAGAGATCAGGAGGTTTTTTTCCCAGAGCAACTGGAGTTGAAGCTGCACAGTCTGCCCTGTCTGTTCCCTAATTTTTTTTTCTCTAATGTGGTTTGTACTTCTGCATTTTAAATAAAAAACAAATACCTACTAGTAGCAATTAGGTTTATTTCAGGCATATTTTAAAATGCACCTTCAGTGTTCCTCCAGACATGCTGGGAGTAGGGCACATCCAGACATACATGTGTCCTGTATGTGTGGAGCCATCTGGAACCATGATCTTACAACCTCCACTCACAATACTCCTAGAGGGCTTTTAAAGCTCTTGCTTTGTTTGTCTTTAATGTTTTGTTGTAGGGAGACTCTTCTTCCTCTGCAGTAACCTCTTGAGATGTTCGTGGATTGCAGGCTGCCTGCAGCCATGATAGCCTGACCCTCTTCTGTCCCTAGAGATCTGCAGGGTGATCAGGAACACAGTGGTGTTGTGGGGGAAAGGACTTGAGCTAGACATC